TAGTCCGCTGTCCGAATCTTACGATTTGAGGGCTCCAAGCACTGCTGTTTGATCATATTGGCACTGTGTTTTGATGGATGAATTGATTGGTTTTCGGATTAATGCATGACAACTTGTTTGCGACTAGGGCAACCTATGATGAGGACTGAGAAGTGCAGTAAAACGACGTAGAAGTTCAGTTTTTCGACTGTTTGCTTGCCAACTGTGACTTGATCTGACTTGATCTGATTACTTGTTCTTAACAGTCGTTTATGCATCTAGTTCAGGGTATCAGAATGTGAGATAGAGCATATAGGTAGCCATGTGAGATTTGAGCCTGCTCGTTTCTTTCTTGTGCGATAGATCCATCTTCCATGATGTGTAGCATTCACGTTGTCACTAGCTAAGATGATGGGGGCATAGGATTAGCCCACGCCCAAAATTGACTGTCCTGATGTGTCATATCCCCTAGTCAGCCCCTTTGAGCCGTGTGTTATCCTTTCTTTTGGTCTGTAATGAAAAATCACCCTTGTTGCATCTTTTAGAAGGTTCCACAGAGTGGTTTTTACATATTCTCTGCTGTTTCTGCTACAGTCTATGTGAGTGTTGGAGGTAGTGCTTAAAAGTTGGGCAGGTATTTGAAATATGCAGAAGTGGTGGCTCTCTTAAGAAATGAAAAGAAAAATAAAAGAAAAACAAAGAAAAAAAAGAGAGCCACTACCAAAAATCTGAATAATGCCCAGTAAGTAGTGTTTTTTAGCAGTCTGGCTTGGAAATGCTGATGTTTATGCCTCCTTCGCTCTTGTGCTCTTAAGATATTGAGTAATGCAGGATAGCAGAAAGAAAATACCGGTTTGTTTGACTGTGTTTGTGTGTTTGGGAAATGTGGAACCTTTTGCTATGAATACTTCCACCACCTACAAGGCCTTTTCCCCATGTCCAAGACCCTAGCCAGTCATTTGAACCTGTGTCTAAGACCTCCTGATTAGTTAGTGGTGACATCCCATATGTGAACTCTAGCATTTAGAGGCTGCCATCATGGTGAAGAGATGATAGGGATTGAGAGAAATAGCATGCGCATCTTTCGCATCAAATTGTCCTGACCCCACTGGTCGAGAGTGAGTGATTCATTTCCATTTTCTATATGCTCTTGTACCCCGGTGAGGACCTAGATTGCTCGGTCTCTATTCTGATGTCTTGAGTTGGATGCATGAGTTGACTGTTTTGAGTAAGTGGTTGAATCAAGTCTAGGTTGGCCAGTGAACAGAAGGGAGACTCTTCCTTTACTCGATTTGCTGCACTCGAATGTCCTTTGTGGTGGTTGTCCAGGTTGCTAATAAAGTTGTTCATGTGTTGATGTTTGAAAACCAGTTTGATTCACGTGTTCTGTGCCTTTATGACTTGTCCCCGATGTTGGTTGACTGAATTATGTGAGCTTACCTTGTGTAGTACTTGGTTTGCTTGGGGACAAGCAAACAGTTAAGTGTGGGGGAATTTGATAGCATCGTATTTGCACGTGTTTTCACTCTGGTTTCCTGTCCATTTTGGCTCGAATTGATTGTTCCTTGGCCTATTTTACGCTAGGTTGTGTTATTTTGTCGTATTTCAGGTCCTAGCAAGTAAAGAGGGGCAAAGGCGCAAGTTTCGGGTCATTGGGAGGTCAATTGGCGAGTCACAGAGAGAATTACGGGCAGCCCCTGCTAAATTACGGCCGTAATTAGCCAGGGCATGCCCGTAATTAATTGGACGAGCCTTCTCCCCAGCAATTCTTCTCGGTGGTAAAATTACGGGCAAGACCCCCAAGAATTACGGCCGTAATTCCCAAATTACTGGCAGTAATTGGGAAATTACGGGCGTAACTTCTCCTCCTGCAGCTTAAGTGAAACGCGCGTTTTGGTGCGAATTACGGGCAGGACGTGATTACGGCCGTAATTCTGCCCGTAATTCGCCCAGAGTCGGGTTTTTGAAGGCAGATTCGAGCCAAGGAGAGGGAATTCGATTTTCTGGGCAAAAACAGAGTTTTAGAGAGAGAAAGAGCGAAGAACAAACCCTAGGAGCTATTTTGGAGTGGATTTCTCATCATTGAAGCCCAGATTGCGTCCCTAGGAGTGAAGATTGACATCCCAGAGCAGATTTTCCTCATCTTTATGAGTATGACCACTCTGATTTCTGTTTTCTCTTCTCTCTCTATGGAGTAGAACCTTTCTGTAACATCCCTGCCCTCGTACTAGTATTACGTTATAATTACGTGGTTGTGATTGGGTTACAAAAATTAGTCTTTTGAACAAAAAAGAAAGTGAATAGTGGAAGGGCTAGACTTAATTGCAAGTGAAGGAAAGTTTAGGGCCAAATAGACAATTTGGAGGGATGGAGGATTCTAGATAAGGGAGATAAAAATCTGCCCATCCTCTTATCTCTCATTTCCTTCTCATCCCTTCCCCTCACTCTCTCCCACGTCTCTCTCTTGCTCTCTTCCCCTCACCTGGTTTCACCACCTCAAAAATCACCACCCCCTTTCAGAAACAAAGAGTGAAAGCTAGAAAGAAAAGCATATCAAGGAGAGGAAGAGGAAGAAGAAGAAGGAGGCAAAGGGGTGCTGCCAATTTCCGTCCAGCAGCGAGACAGCCTGTGAGAAGGACGATTCCGGACAATCAAACCGTTGGATCGTCCTGAGATTTGTAGGTTGGGTTTTATACTTCTTTGGCTACGATTTGACTTTTGGGATCATCGATATGATCTCTGGTTCATCGAGGAAAGTCGCTGGACAGAAGGGGTGCGATACTGTTTTTCTGTAGCAGGACAGCAGATTAGAGGTAAGATCCTGTGCGAATCCGTCGTTGGATCGTTCTAGAAATTTGGTATGAGGTTAAGTATAGGTGGTTCTTCGAATTGACCGTTCAGAATGTAGTTTTGTTGTCTGAGTGGTCAGGAACAATTGTTAGAAGAAGGAGAGTTGGTTTTAAAGTGAAAGAAAGTTGTTGACAGTTTTGAAATGTCAAGTTAAAATGATTGCTGGGATCAAAAGGCTGATCCAAATGGTCTGAAATTTGGATATGTTGTATCCCTATGAATCTAGTTTCAGCAGCAACAAGAATCAACTGATTTGGTTAAGTATCAAGGGAGAAATGATCAAAATGATGAAGCAGGGTAAAGTGTACAATCGTATGACTTCCCTAGTGGTCTTATTGACATGCATGAATACAACCATGATTATGATGATTGTATACGTGTCTTGGTGCTTGAATAACCTGGAAAATTTGTATATAAAGGTAAGGATCAAGCCGGGGGCTCATCCAAAGGCAAGGGCATAGCCGAGTGAAGACAAAACTGTGAGTAGATTCTAATCTTAGATCTACTTCAACATAATCACAGTATCCGGGTCATGAAGTGGCCCGAATACATATCGGGGTCATGAAGAGGCTCCGGTATAATATGGGAATTTATGGGAAATGATATTGCTATGTGATCTGGCTTATTTGTGTTTATTCATTATCTGCATTTGGTATGAAGTTGGAAATGCATGAATTGTGAATGAGATATGGAAAGACATTCTGTTGATTTATTGTGCGGATTATGAGCAAGTATTCGAACTTGCGAACCCGTCTTGTCTGTTTAGATTTGGAGTAAGCCATTAGGCTTACTAATCCTGTTCTGCTTGAATAACTCGGAGTAAGCTCCTCAGCTTACATTCCATTCTGTTGTGACTGAGGGTACAAAAGCACTATGAATGCTTTTGAGCCTATAGTGTCTAAGTGCACTATTAATGAAAAGGAGGTGAATACATAAGAATAAGTAAAAAGGTTTTATGATACCTCGGTACAGTAGTGTGTCCTGTTTGTATCGATGTGGGTAAACCCCACGATACTCCTGTTTGAGCGCTCGTGCTTCGCACCGTGCCGATTGGGTGACGACCCACGGTACTCCTGTTCTGTTCAGTTAGCCAGGCTGGGGTAATCCCGTGGCGACTCCTGTTTTTGTATCGGTCCGGGTTGTGTCCCGCGATATTCCTGTTGGTGCGAGCACTCCTGTTTTGTGCCTTGAGCACTCCTGTTTCGTGCCTTGAGCACTCCTGTTTCGTGCCTTGTGCACTCCTGTTTGTACCGGATGAGGCTTTGTCCCGCGGTACTCCAGTTATCTGATGGCTAGTCATGGTTATCCTGCAGCCTTCCACTACTGTACTACCCGAGGAGTATATCATTTAGCAAGTTTGAAAGTGAAATTGTATAAGCAAAATGCCTCTATCTGTCACCTGTTTTATGTGTTTCGACTGTGGAATGTGAGCATGTGAACTTGATTGATCCAGTAAAATGAAAAGTGTGATAAAACAATTTAAGTCCTGTTATGTGCTAGGGTGTTTCTGCCCAATACTGTTTTTGTATTGATGTCGATCCGAGCTTAGAATTTATTCACTGAGCGACGACTCATCCTTCGTCATCATTTTTCCTCAGATCAAGATCAGAAGTAAGGTCTGTACTGTAGATATCGGGACTCAAGCGTGAAGGGAAGCCATGAGGTGGGCGGCGGACTCCGAACTCCTTAAATGTTTTATGTTGTGTGGATTTTGTAACAAAGCGGACTTCCCCGGTTTTCTGTTTTGACTCTGATGAAAATGTAAGTTATGGTTTGAAGTTTAAAAAAAAATATATCTGTAGAGCTCGGGCCCGAGTATGTTTAAATTCGATGTATTTTACTGTTTCGTTTTGTAATATAAAGTAAGGGTTTCACATTTTTGGTATCAGAGCTGGGATATGATCCCGTGGATACCAAACGTTTTAAACGAGATTTTACTGGGAAAACTTAAATGATTTCACGGGGAAGTGACTAATTATTGATTTTGACTCCGGATTTTGTTTTTGTGGAGTTCAGTCAAGGAGCAGATCCGCAACCTCACGGGAATCCTAATGCTGGAGGTTCTAATTTTAATGGAAATAATGCTGAGTCCCGCAATAGAGCCAATCCTTATGTCAAGGATTTTGAAAAGCTTAGGAATATGGGGGCTGAGTTCTTTAAAGGGGCTAATGACCCTAAAGATGCTCTGGACTGGATCAAGGAGATGGAACGAATCTTTAACCTCCTTGAGTGTCCTGATGAAGCAAGAGTGGAGTATATGTACTACCTGCTCAGGTCTGATGCTTATGACTGGTGGTTGACCGTACCCGGGGCTCAGGATCGTACTATTCGGTATACCTGGGCGGAATTTCTTGAGAAATTCCGTAAGCAATATGTGCCTGATCTGTATGTGGATAGGAAGAAGAAAGAGTTTCTGGACCTGAAACAGCAAAGGGGGCAGACTGTTAAAGAGTATGATGCCACTTTCCATCGTTTGATGACCTTCGCGATGGAGTTGGTACCTACTGAACGAGCTAGATGTAACCGCTATGAGCAAGGCCTGAATCCCCCAGATCAAGATGATAGTAGCAAAATCAGAGACGACTGATCTTGCCACCTTGAGAGAGGCTGCCATGAGAGCAGAGGATTTGGTGAATGAAATGGGAGCACAAATGGCTGAAGGAAGGAAGAGAACGTGGAAGAATGTGGGTTCCTCGAGTGCTGGGAACTCATTCGGGGGTAGACCTAATCAGAGTCCGAAGATTTCACGTCCAGTGGCCAGTTACCCCGGACAGGAGCGGAGAAGTGCAGGCCCAGCTCCTATTTGCCCACATTGTGGGAATCAGCATGTGGGTGTTTGTAGGAGGGTGACTGGTGGGTGTTTCCGATGTGGAGACACCAGCCACTTCCTCCGTGATTGTCCCCACATGTCAGAGTCCAGGCCTGCTGGATCCCAGACCACAATTCAAGGGTCCAGAAGGACTGGAGGTTCAGTGAGAGGATCAGGAAGAGGTGGTAATAATCGTGGCAAAAGTCAGGGTGGACAGAGCAGTCGGGGTGAAGTGCAGCCACGAGCCTTTGCTATGACTAGGAGGGAGGCTGACATCTCTCCAGAGGTCGTTACTGGTACGGTTCTTATCTACGATCTTACCGCTTATGCGTTGATTGATCCTGGTGCCACTCATTCATTCATATCTTCTGCATTCTCACGTGGGTTGCCTGTGCACTCTGAAATGTTGAACAAGAATGTAATAGTTCAAACCCCAGTAGGAGATACCGTAGTGATTGAATATGCCTATCCTTATGCCCCAATAAGTCTAGCTGGAACTATTCTGCCAGCTAACTTATTGAGGTTAATGCTGACTGAATTTGATATAATTCTAGGAATGGATTGGTTAAGCCAACATAAAGCCGTAATGAACTGTTATACTAAGGAAGTAATTTTCGAAAGACCAGATGGTCAGAATGTGATTTTTCGAGGGACTAGACAGGTGGTGCCTAGTTGCCTAGTCTCGGCCACCAAGGTGGTGAGTTTGATGAAGGAAGGCTGTGAAGTGTATCTGGCTTATGTGACTGAGGGCAAACCGGAATTGAACCCTGAAAATGTTCCGGTTGTGAAGGAGTTCCTGGATGTGTTCCCTTCGAAACTGCCAGGATTACCTCCGGAAAGGGAAATAGATTTCACTATTGAACTGATATCGGGCACTGCTCCGATCTCTGTATCTCCGTACCGGATGTCTCCGTTTGAACTTAAAGAACTGAAGGAGCAACTTCAAGAGTTGCTAGATAAGGGGTTTATTAGACCTAGTGTCTCCCCTTGGGGCGCTCCGGTATTATTTGTGAAGAAGAAGGATGGAACTTTTCGTCTGTGTATTGACTACCGGAAGCTCAACAAGTTAACGGTTAAGAATAAATATCCGTTACCTCGGATTGATGATTTATTTGACCAACTACAAGGATCGAGGGTCTTTTCGAAGATTGATCTAAGATCAGGTTATCATCAATTAAGGGTAGCGGATGAGTCCATACCGAAGACAGCTTTTCGTACTAGGTATGGACATTACGAATTTCTTGTTATGCCGTTCGGGTTAACAAATGCTCCAGCTGTGTTCATGGCACTGATGAACCGAGTGTTTCAGGAATATCTAGATAAGTTTGTGATCGTCTTTATTGATGATATTCTAGTGTATTCTGGAAGTGAAGAAGAGCACATGGAGCATTTGAGAATCGTACTGCAGATTCTGAGGGAAAAGCAGTTGTATGCTAAGTTCAGCAAATGTGAATTTTGGATGGATCAAGTAGTATTTTTGGGCCATGTGGTGTCTGAGAGAGGTATAGAGGTGGATCCAAGGAAAGTAGAAGCAGTGATACAATGGGAGCCACCGAAAAATATACCTGAACTAAGAAGTTTCCTTGGCATGGCCGGATACTACAGAAGGTTCATTGAGGGGTTCTCTCTGATTGCTGCACCATTGACAAAGTTACTGAGGAAAGAGCAATCTTTTATACGGGATAATAAATGTCAATCCAGTTTCGAAGAGTTGAAGCGGAAGTTAACCACTGCACCGGTTCTTGCCCTTCCCTCAGGAACTGGAGGTTATGTGGTATACAGTGATGCTTCGCATCAAGGGTTAGGATGTGTTCTCATGCAACATGGTAAAGTAATTGCTTATGCTTCCAGGCAATTACGACCGTATGAGAAATCTTATCCGACTCATGATTTAGAACTGGCGGCTGTGGTATTTGCCTTAAAGATTTGGCGCCATTATTTGTACGGTGAGACTTTTCAGATCTTTACTGATCATAAGAGTCTCAAGTACTTGAGTGGAGCAAAAAGAGCTAAATCTTAGGCAAAGGAGGTGGTTAGAGTTGTTGAAAGATTACGACTGTACCATCGAATACCATCCAGGCAAAGCAAATGTTGTTGCAGATGCTTTTAGTCGAAAGACCACGCATCGTACTAAAAATGAGGAGACTGGTTTAATGGCAAATTTGATTGCTTTGAGAGCTATGAGTGTTGAATTGGAAATGAATTCCACAGGAGGGTTATTGGCCACTTTACAAGTGCGACCAATTCTGAGAGAAAGAATTATTAAAGTTCAGGATCAAGACCCTGAATTGAGAAAGATTATTGATAAGAGTCGTACAGGGTAAGAAACTAAATTCACACTCCGAGATGGCGTTCTAACACTAAACGAAAGACTTTGTGTTCCAAATGTGGATGAATTGCGAAGGGAGATTTTGGAAGAAGCTCACTCCTCTCCTTATGCAATGCATCCTGGAACGAAAAAAAATGTACCGTTCCTTGAGATCTCATTATTGGTGGCCAAGGATGAAGAAAGAAGTAGCTGAACATGTCTTGACGTGTCTGGTATGTCAGAAAGTGAAAGCCGAACATCAAGCCCCAGCGGGAAAATTGCAACCACTGTCCATTCCAGAATGGAAATGGGAAAAGATTACCATGGACTTTGTCTATGGTCTACCTAGGTCTCAGAAGAAGAACGACGCCGTTTGGGTTATTGTGGACCGATTGACAAAGTCGGCTCACTTTATACCCATTAGATGGGGTTGTCAGCTAGAGTTACTGACAAAGAAGTATGTGGAGGAAATAGTGAGACTACATGGAGTACCAGTATCCATCGTCTCTGACAGAGATCCGAGGTTCACTTCTCGATTCTGGAAGAGTTTGCAAGAAGCACTAGGTACTCGTCTGAACTTTTCAACCGCCTTTCATCCCCAGACCGATGGTCAATCCGAGCGAACAATCCTCACTCTTGAGGAAATGTTGCGAGCTTGTGTACTGGATTTCCAAGGTTCTTGGGATGAACATTTGCCACTGATTGAATTTGCTTATAACAACCAGTACCATAGTAGTATTGGTATGGCTCCATACGAAGCTCTGTATGGAAGGAAATGCAGATCCCCAGTGTGCTGGGATGAGGAAGGGTTACGACAATTGGAGGGACCTGAAATCGTTCAGATGACTGTGGATAAGATTAAAGTGATCAGAAGCCGATTGAAGGCCACACAAAACCGGCAAAAGAGCTATGCCGATATCCACCGAAGGGAGATGGAATTTCAGAGTGGAGAGAAAGTATTTTTGAAAGTGTCTCCTTGGAGAGGTGTTTTGAGATTCCAGAAGAAGGGTAAGTTAAGTCCGAGGTATCTCGGACCTTATGAGATTCTGGAAAAGATAGGTTCGGTAGCCTATCGACTTGCCTTACCACCAGAATTGTCTCAAGTTCATGATGTCTTCCATGTGAGTTTGCTTCGAAGATACCGATCGAATCCGTCACATGTACTGGAACCAGATGAGATTGAGGTCCAGAAAGATCTAAGCTATGTGGAGGAACCAAAAGAGATCGGGGACAGAAAGGTGAAACAACTTAGGAATTGAAGTATTCCTATGGTGAAAGTAATTTGGAAAAGTCACACTGGAGAAGAAGCCACGTGGGAGACGGAAGAAAGCATGAGAGCACAATACCCCTACTTGTTTCAAGGTAAAATTTCGGGACGAAATTTTATTTAGAGGGGAGGAAATGTAACATCCCTGCCCTCGTACTAGTATTACGTTATAATTACGTGGTTGTGATTGGGTTACAAAAATTAGTCTTTTGAACAAAAAAGAAAGTGAATAGTGGAAGGGCTAGACTTAATTGCAAGTGAAGGAAAGTTTAGGGCCAAATAGACAATTTGGAGGGATGGAGGATTCTAGATAAGGGAGATAAAAATCTGCCCATCCTCTTATCTCTCATTTCCTTCTCATCCCTTCCCCTCACTCTCTCCCACGTCTCTCTCTTGCTCTCTTCCCCTCACCTGGTTTCACCACCTCAAAAATCACCACCCCCTTTCAGAAACAAAGAGTGAAAGCTAGAAAGAAAAGCATATCAAGGAGAGGAAGAGGAAGAAGAAGAAGGAGGCAAAGGGGTGCTGCCAATTTCCGTCCAGCAGCGAGACAGCCTGTGAGAAGGACGATTCCGGACAATCAAACCGTTGGATCGTCCTGAGATTTGTAGGTTGGGTTTTATACTTCTTTGGCTACGATTTGACTTTTGGGATCATCGATATGATCTCTGGTTCATCAAGGAAAGTCGCTGGACAGAAGGGGTGCGATACTGTTTTCCTGTAGCAGGACAGCAGATTAGAGGTAAGATCCTGTGCGAATCCGTCGTTGGATCGTTCTAGAAATTTGGTATGAGGTTAAGTATAGGTGGTTCTTCGAATTGACCGTTCAGAATGTAGTTTTGTTGTCTGAGTGGTCAGGAACAATTGTTAGAAGAAGGAGAGTTGGTTTTAAAGTGAAAGAAAGTTGTTGACAGTTTTGAAATGTCAAGTTAAAATGATTGCTGGGATCAAAAGGCTGATCCAAATGGTCTGAAATTTGGATATGTTGTATCCCTATGAATCTAGTTTCAGCAGCAACAAGAATCAACTGATTTGGTTAAGTATCAAGGGAGAAATGATCAAAATGATGAAGCAGGGTAAAGTGTACAATCGTATGACTTCCCTAGTGGTCTTATTGACATGCATGAATACAACCATGATTATGATGATTGTATACGTGTCTTGGTGCTTGAATAACCTGGAAAATTTGTATATAAAGGTAAGGATCAAGCCGGGGGCTCATCCAAAGGCAAGGGCATAGCCGAGTGAAGACAAAACTGTGAGTAGATTCTAATCTTAGATCTACTTCAACATAATCACAGTATCCGGGTCATGAAGTGGCCCGAATACATATCGGGGTCATGAAGAGGCTCCGGTATAATATGGGAATTTATGGGAAATGATATTGCTATGTGATCTGGCTTATTTGTGTTTATTCATTATCTGCATTTGGTATGAAGTTGGAAATGCATGAATTGTGAATGAGATATGGAAAGACATTCTGTTGATTTATTGTGCGGATTATGAGCAAGTATTCGAACTTGCGAACCCGTCTTGTCTGTTTAGATTTGGAGTAAGCCATTAGGCTTACTAATCCTGTTCTGCTTGAATAACTCGGAGTAAGCTCCTCAGCTTACATTCCATTCTGTTGTGACTGAGGGTACAAAAGCACTATGAATGCTTTTGAGCCTATAGTGTCTAAGTGCACTATTAATGAAAAGGAGGTGAATACATAAGAATAAGTAAAAAGGTTTTATGATACCTCGGTACAGTAGTGTGTCCTGTTTGTATCGATGTGGGTAAACCCCACGATACTCCTGTTTGAGCGCTCGTGCTTCGCACCGTGCCGATTGGGTGACGACCCACGGTACTCCTGTTCTGTTCAGTTAGCCGGGCTGGGGTAATCCCGTGGCGACTCCTGTTTTTGTATCGGTCCGGGTTGTGTCCCGCGATATTCCTGTTGGTGCGAGCACTCCTGTTTTGTGCCTTGAGCACTCCTGTTTCGTGCCTTGAGCACTCCTGTTTCGTGCCTTGTGCACTCCTGTTTGTACCGGATGAGGCTTTGTCCCGCGGTACTCCAGTTATCTGATGGCTGTTCATGGTTATCCTGCAGCCTTCCACTACTGTACTACCCGAGGAGTATATCATTTAGCAAGTTTGAAAGTGAAATTGTATAAGCAAAATGCCTCTATCTGTCACCAGTTTTATGTGTTTCGACTGTGGAATGTGAGCATGTGAACTTGATTGATCCAGTAAAATGAAAAGTGTGATAAAACAATTTAAGTCCTGTTATGTGCTAGGGTGTTTCTGCCCAAATACTGTTTTTGTATTGATGTCGATCCGAGCTTAGAATTTATTCACTGAGCGACGACTCATCCTTCGTCATCATTTTTCCTCAGATCAAGATCAGAAGTAAGGTCTGTACTGTAGATATCGGGACTCAAGCGTGAAGGGAAGCCATGAGGTGGGCGGCGGACTCCGAACTCCTTAAATGTTTTATGTTGTGTGGATTTTGTAACAAAGCGGACTTCCCCGGTTTTCTGTTTTGACTCTGATGAAAATGTAAGTTATGGTTTGAAGTTTAAAAAAAATATATCTGTAGAGCTCGGGCCCGAGTATGTTTAAATTCGATGTATTTTACTGTTTCGTTTTGTAATATAAAGTAAGGGTTTCACACTTTCTCTCACTTGGGTATGAAGAACCCTAGTTCCTTGTGTTAGGGATTTGATTGTAATGACTTGGGATGATATTATTGTTTGATTTTAATCGAATGATGCATGTTTCATGAATTGATTTGAGTCTGATCAGCTTGTCTCAATTTCTGCTCCAACCTGAGATAGATAGAATCTGATTAGGTTGTTAGAGCCTCTTCATTCGACAGTAGGAGATTGGCTATACGAGAGTTAGCCAGTTTACTGCTTTGTACTGGTGTTCTTGACGCCAGTAGTGGAGTTCTGTGTTCATAGCCTCAACTTTCTATCCCGGTGAAGACTAGTCGTCTGCCGGGTAGTTAGACTGAGAGGGCTTGGTCAGCTTAAGAGATTCCAAGCTACTGTCGGATCTTCCGCAGTCTAATCAACAGTAAATCAACCCAGGGAATTGCAATTGAACCTAACTAAGGGGCTAGGAGGACTCATTCCCGAGTGACTCTTACCTGCCTTAGAAAACCGAACAGTTTACTGCTTTCTTACTGCTTTTGCTTTTAAACAACAATCACTCGAACTAGTTTGCTAGATAATAGAGAATCACGGAGTAAGCAGTAGATCTAGACCCCGGGTTGATAGTATAACTTGCTTGTTACTGCATTCCCGGACTGCGATTACACTTGGTCGCAGTTTGGTGTTGTGTTTTGGCGTGTCACATGGTTCGGGTGCCACTTATCGCTGCGAGCCATTTTTGGAAATCCACGGTCTGAATTCCAATTCCACGACCGTGGATTTCGACGTCGAGTATTCTAAGCTGAAAACTCAAGATTTTGGGTCATTTTTCTAGATTTTTGAGTAATAAAGAGCTAGAGAGATAATTGACAACCTTTTTGTGTATGCATGCCAAATTAGCAGATCATCAATGTTGTAGACCATCTTTATGATTCGTAGAAGCCCACTATTAATGATGTGTTATCCTTACTTCCTTACTCTTCATTGATTAGTTGGTGGCATGAATCGAAAGCATGCATTAGCTAGTCAAATCCCTATCACAAGAGGCGGATGCAGAGATAGGCCTTAGTGCAACAGACAGAGCATCTTAATAGAGGTGGCATTTTGACATCTCATTGATGAGTTAGTATACATAACCATCTAGGAAAACACGTAGTTGCTATCAAAAGACCTCGTGGAATACAAACCTAGTCATATCTAGGATTTTCTATCACTTATATTTTTACTACACATTCACGACCGTGATTTTTCAAATTTGGCCATGATCTCGAAACAACAATGCTTCTGTCTACTAAAGGTGAGAGTTTAGGGTAACAAACAAGAATTATTTCTATTTATTTGTGTGCATAGCTTCCCCAAGATCATCATTGAGGGATCAAAGATCCCAAATGCGATATTTTTTGTTTCACGCGATCTGGACTCTTTACACGTTAATTAGGGAAATGCTTCCTTCTCTACACTTTCGACCTTAAAACCTCATCATATTCGTTTGGAACTCGCAATACCATTTATTAATCAACATATACATGTGGGAAAGCATTATATGCTATATATTGAGTTCAAATGATCAATCAACGCTCAATATGACATGAAAATATATATTGTTGGGAAGATAAATAACTCAAATTTAGGTGTTATCAATAAGTCTTCATAAGTTCCAATATGAAATTCAATTAAAACCTAACCGAATGGGTCTATCTTTGTAGTGAAGGCACATTGTTTGGTTGATATATTAGTGGCCAAGACTCATGCATCCTCTCCACAAAAATGTTAGAAATGAAATTGAGCATACTACAACGTGACAACCATCCTAATAGGTCTCCCATGCTCAATGTTTCTGAATTCTCAACCTCAAGGAATGAAGAAAAAAAAAACAGAAAATGAAAAACATATGGTAGTAATGAATATTTTTCACTTCAATAATTGGATGAATCAAACCTCATTAGTCTTTAGCAACCAATTATGTTGATAGCATAAATTCCCCAAGGAGAAACTAACACTTGCAAAATGTGCGTCTTCTACAATCATCTTAATAATTGCTGGTAGAGTTGGGATTGCTAGACCATACGAAGACTTGTAAAAAGTTGTTGTTGCTGAATGTGGAATGGGTGAGAAAGAAAATGATAAGAAATCAAAGATATCTCAAAATAAAATTGGCACAGATGATCTCAGTTCATCAAGTATAACAACTCATTTTAATGAAAATGGAATATCAATAGGAGTAAGTGAAGTGGCAAGAAGCTACCACTTTAATGAACTTATGCACAAAGAATGTGCATTTTATAATTACATAAAAATAGCAGAAAACAAAACACCTAAAAAATTACTCAGAAAAACAAATAAAATGATGATTTTATTTTACACGTGGATAAAAATTATCATGGAATTATTTTATTTTATTCTCCATGCCCACAATTAATAATATTTTTCTTCCACTTAATTTACCTCTTCATCTTTCTTGCCGTAAGGTCTTCAACTTTACCACCATCTTTCTTGGATTCTTTCTCATCACTCTCCTTTTCATCGTCTTTCTTCTTATCCTTCTTGTCATCATCGTCTTTCTTCTTATCCTTCTTGTCATCATCGTCATCATCATCTTTCTTCTTCTTTTTATCATCATCCTTGTCATCTTTCTCGTCACCGTCCTTGTTTTCCTTCTTCTTCTTGTCCTCCTCCTTCTCGTCATCGTCCTTGTTTTCCTTCTTCTTCTTCTTGTCCTTCTTGTCTTCGTCCTTCTTCTTATCGTCTTTCTTATCATCATCCTTCTTTGAGTTCTCGTCATCCTTCTCGTCATCCTTGTCATTTTTTTCCTTCTTAGAGGGTTTCTCCTTCTTTTCGCGTTTGTCATCATCCTTGTTGCTTTTTTCCTTCTTATCATCCTCTTTCTCGCTCTTGGAATCTTTGTCACCATCTTTCTTATCATCCTTGTCGTCATCACTCTTCTTGGCCTCTTTTTTGTTGTCATCTTTTTCATCGTCAGACTTTTTAACTTTTGAAACATCTTTCTTTTTATCATCTCCTTTATCAACGGATCCAGTATTCACTGATTGGCCAGCCTGATCATCTCCTCCTGCATCTTTATTCCCAATTGCATTATCTTGAGCTTCAACTTCTCTCATAGTCAATGCGCACATGAAAAGTGTCGCAAGAACAAAAAATGTCACAACTTTTAGACTCGCCATTGTTGGAACAAATGAGAGGTTCTCACGGGTGGTTATGAGTGATTAGAAGCTTTCGTTGATGTCTTAGAGTTTAACGAAATTATTATTTAAATAGAGGCATTGTAACCATTTTAAGGGAAAATATCAATTTCTCAAGTGTAGAATGTCTTGAGATATTATCTCCCAACCGTGATTTTGTTTGAGGTCCTTAGAAATTCGAGGAGTTTTGTATGAAAAATAGAAAAAGTCGGCATCAATTTCTGATCTTTGAGTGCTATTTATGTACTGGAATTAGTCTAATTGTGATAGTCGAATTTCCATCCAGGAGTCTATCGCGCATTAAGTTATTATATATGTTATCTATAAACCTTTGATTTAAATTAACAAGTGTGCTGATTTTTTAGCTAATCGAAGGCATAGTCTACAATTTAGGTTACATGATGTTGCTATTGAGGATCTATTTTTGCCTATGGGCTATTGTACGACATTCAAGGGGTCTCCGAACCCCGTTTGATTTTGAATGAAGGCTAGGATGATTTGCACCATTTATTTAAAAAATTTTGATTAAATGATTCATAGAAATAGTGTGCGGGATGAACCAATAAGAAGCAAATGGTTTTGTTAGCAGTTGATTCCAAATTACTCGTATTAGGTGCATCAATGTGTTTAGTAGCAGCCGATCGAAAAATTTAAATGAGAGAGGTGATATGGAGTGCTCAAACTTGCGACCGAGCTCAAGTTAACAAATAACATAACCAAGCATTGGAACCCAGTAAAGGTTAACAAGTAGCCAACATTATCAAAGCTACCAACGAACATTTGTATAATGGGGATTAGATATGACAGTGAACATTTGTAACATCGAGTAAGTTTATTCCTCTCCTTTTAGTCACGCAACTTCATTGCTCTACTCTTCTTAATTGTACTACCATTTCATAGAAACACGATGTGTGTAGGAAATGGTAACGTTCTACAATGTATTGCTAGGTATTGGTGGTGAACATAGGATTAACATTAAACCTGTAGTCATTCAATAAGGATACAAATTTACTAATATTATTGAAGCCACCTTACTCTTTTTGCCTGAAACTACAAAATATATGAAGGAGGCTCTATGCGGCATTGGAGACGATAATTGAGACCACACACTTGTATTCTCGTCCTCCATGATGCAGTCGACTTTGTTGGAGTAAGAACGTCCCAAAGTTTGAGTTTGCTCAAACCAGATTATGCTCTTCAACTCATACGTTATCTGTAGTTCGTGTACATAATGATCGTTTATAATGTCTTGGCTTAAAAATATCCAATTATCATTAAAAAAAGGATCAAGTGTAAAAGTACGCTTAGATGCTATCAAATGGATGTTTGAGTGTACCGAAAGAACATCCAAATCAAAATTGTCATAGATGTATTAAAATGGTGTAAACTTGCAATATATTTAAAATATAATCATGAAGTAAAGATGAACTCTTAGAGAAATCTAAAAAAATAAAAGAAAAATAAGTAAAACAGTTGGTTTTTCGGTAGGGGCCAGAGTTTGGGGATATTTCATGATTGTAAGTGAATAGGGGAATAAAGAAGTTTTATAGACAAGGGAAAGTCTCCAAGGGCAGTTTTTTAAGCCCTGGGGGTGGTCCAAACTGTAGACACCACTTTTTGTCCATGCTAAAATACATATATAATTAAATAAATTTAGTTTTTATCTAAAGTTTGCAATAGCGAATCTTGAATAACCTAACTAAAACGTATTTATTGTGCTGGGAATGGGTCTTGTTTGCTATCACTGACGAGATTAAGCAATAGCAAATTTCGATCGATACAATTGATAGTGAGGGTTGCAATTTTTTGCTTTGGTTTG